CCCCAAAACCCCAAAACCCCAAAACCCCAAAACCCCAAATTTACGCTTAATATTGAATATTATATCTCAACATGTAAGCTGAATATTGACTTAATCTCTTTTCTATCTCTCTTACCTGCTAATATTCATCAGATGATCAATTCAACAAGAGCTTCGGTTAAGAAGGCACCAAAGGTAACTAAAAAGAACAGCCTAAGGGTAAGTACAAAGCTTAGCAATGTCTTGCAAACAGAAGTAGTCAAAATTATCCAAGGGTGTCTTAGTAAGCTTTGTCCAGTAACCCCTCTAGCTCCGTTTGAGACACAAATCTCTGACCTTAAATCTGAGCTGGCTTGCTTGCGAAACAAGCTTGAGGATGCCTTAAATCTTACCAAAATCCCGCCTAAACAATATGAAAATAACGAATACAACTCTATCAAGCCTGGCAAGAAGGCCAAGGCTCCCTGAAATAACTTACAAAAGTTCAGAGCAAGAAGCTATGCCAAGAAGATCAGCTCTGCTTCAAAGTAAGCTCTCTTCTAAGTCTAGAAACCTTCATATTTGTGACGAAGACAGTGTCACAAGTTTCAGGAAACAGAGGTTCAATCCCAGTGAGAGAGGCCCTAGTCTCAATACCTCAGGCATGAAGACTTATAAGCCTAAGAGAAGAGCCTCAAAAGCGCTGCTTGACTTTAAAAGTGCAGATAAAGAAACCAGGCGGACCCAAATGTCGTATAAAGCAATTCCAATAATGCAAACACAAAGTAAGCTGAAACTTGAAGAAAAGAAAAGAACCATGCATGAGAAGACTCTCTTAGTCTTTCCAGAGTCACCTATGAAGCCTTTTTCGGCCAAGAAGCCTTCCACAACCAAGGGGATAAAGGACCTCAAGAGGAGTATGTCCGAGACTCAGTGGGAGCACAAGAGGTTCCTCAAAAATCGGGAAGAGACCAATCTTGAAGCCATTTTCACAGCTACCCTGTCTGACTCCAGAGAGTACTTCTTGTTCTCAATGTTATAGCGAGGAGACTTGTCATTGTGATGAAAGTGTCACCAGTTCTCAGCTGACATCTTGTAGCAAATATTGTAAGTTTCTGTCACCAGATCAGCAGCTGGAAATCATCACCACCGAGACTGCTTCTCCTGCGAACTCACTTGAGCTAGAGTACGCTATAAATTCTGACTGGTGGAGAACCTGGTGAGATTATGTAAACGTTGAGTTCCTCCAGATCTCCAATTCGTTGAAGTTTAGCCTTAAAAAGCCGTTGTGAGCCAAGAAAGTTCTCCAAAATCAGTTCCAGCAAACTCCAAGTGACGAAGAAGATATCGGTGATAAACCGAATCATATTGACTTGGATGGGCTACGCTCATCAGTCTCTTCGCACGACCAAGGTATCCTTAACTCGTACAGTAAGGTCGTTTAATGATAACCTGTTTCATAGACTCTATCACCAAGGATCGTCCCAAAGAGCCTTTATTATACCCAGAAGATCTCTACCAAAGACCAGGGATGATATGAAACAAGCCAATTTGTGACAAAAGGATTGACGGGAACATCAGGTTGCTCGAGAATCTTCAAGAAGTAAGGTCCCTGCTCACACCTAGGTACATGATTACGTCAGAGTGAGCCAGAAAGCATGGAGCTACCTCAAAGCTTGGTACGGGTACGACCATGAACTGTGGATATAATAAATTGACTCAATCAAAATATGAAAACTTGGGGTTTTGGGGTTTTGGGGTTTTGGGGTTTTGGGGTTTTGGGGTTTTGGGG